CAACCCGTTTTTGCAATGAAATTTCAGTCCTTGCAAGTCCTAGTATCCCAGTAGTGCCACTGGCTAGACCCTTCCTGTAATTTGAGTTGGTGCAAGCAAAGGAAAACTAGGGCACCCCCATATGATCTTTGGAGAATAATGTGTCCTCTCCAAAAGTTCCACTTCGAAGAAAACTCTCGAATGGGTCAAAAGTGGTGGCAGCACAGGTGTTATTGGTGCAGCCAGGGCGCTGAGGCCCGTGACATTCCACTTTGACATCCAGACCCCTTGGCTATTTTACATTTTTGTGTGTCACAAGGTACCGGAGCGTAGGTGGATGTGGTGTAATTATCGCACTCGAAACACAAGAATTGTTGTGCAAGATGGATTACTGTGTTAACTATGGCATGGTTGCTTCCCATTTGTATTGAGGTGTAATGTTGTAAGGTATTGGTGTCTTTTCTAATGGGAAGGATTAGGCCATTTGGAGCAGAGGAAGTGGATAAAAGAATGGCAAAGACGAAAACAGAGTAGTTCAAAAAAGAAGCCATTGGTATATGGTTTGGATTGCAATTCCAAGTGATATTGCAGTGTCTATTTACGGATATCTAACATTGGCATTACAGAGATTTTGGTTGGTCAAAGTTGGCATACAGCTCATATTGATATTTTCAATATCTATTTCCTCGAACTCATTTTCAACTTCATATTTTTAAAATAAAATATTTTACACATAACACCTAATTTTCCCTATTTTTTGTAGTCGCACATCTCTAAAAAATCATATTTAAGAAATCCATTTATCAAAAATGAAATCAAGCAATAGCTAAATTTATAAACGTTTATAGCTTAGCTTGTTGTAATATTTGTAAACTCAATCACTCCATGAACCATTCAACGAGGACTTTTATAATTGTTTATAAACGGAACAAGCAATATTTTTAAAAAGAATTTTTTAATAAAATTATTTTAAAATATTTTTTTGGCAAAAGAAAGCTTAAAAGTAACTTTTATTTCTTCATCGAGCTTAGCCCAAAAAAAATCTAATTAAAGCATCTCCAAAATTATTTACAATGATTGTATTTAATAAATTATAAATATTAATACTATACTTCTAAAACTATTCAAATAACAATTGAATTGATTGACAATTGACATATAAAAAATATTAAAATAAGAGACGAGAAATCAACAAATATTTTTGAAAAAAATAAATTAAAGAGTCAAAATAGAGAGAGTGTATACAAATATTAACCTCTAAATTTAAAATTGATTTATATGATACATAAGATACTTTTTATTTTCTTAATCAATTAGTTCCACTACAACATTCCGTTGGAGTTAATTTAACGTCAACATATTTGTCTAATAATTTTAAAAAGGGAAAATTTCATTAGTAAGATATTAATTATGGCACATTTCAAAAATAAGAAAATAAGTTTCAAATTTCAAAAATCAGATTTTTATTAAAATTATTTATAATTAAATTAATTAATTATTCTAGAAATTAAATATATTTAAGTTACAGATTTATATAATTTGGTCACAAATTAACAATTTAATTTGTCACTTATTATTTTTTGGTCACAAATCAGAAATTTTATGTTACAAATTATTTTACGATCACAATTTAAAAATTTTATAGGTCACAGTTTGTTCATCGGTCACAAATCGAAAAATTTATAAGTCACGATTTTTTATTGGTCACAAATCATAAATATTACAAGTCACAACTTATTATACAGTCCTAAATTATCAATCACAGATTAACATTTTATTAGATCACCTTATTTTTCGGTTACAATTTATCTTTTTCATTGGTCACAAATTAACCAATTTAATTATCACAATCAACCAAATAATTTGTGACCACCACAACACTTACAATTCACAGTTACAATTTTCAGATCAATTATACAATTGTAAGTTACAATCACAATTTTCAGGTCACATATTTAATTGTAAGTCACAAATCAACCAAACCACCACAACCACCGCCACGACCACCACAGCTACCGCCACGACCAACTGTGACTCTTAATTTGTGAGTTACAATTGTGAGTCACAATCACAATTTTCAGGTCACAAATCCAATTTCGAGTCACAATTGGGAGTCATAGTCACAATTTTCAGCATAGCCAATATCGTTGCCATCGGAGCCAGCACCACATCCTCTACTGCCACCGAAACCCACTCCGCCACCAGATCTAACAAAAATGAACAAATCGCAACTGCACAAAATCATCTCCCTACCACCACGACCACGACCAACATCATCATCAATTCTCTGAACGCCAACAGCCCGTCACCACCACGACCTGCAACCACCGACATCTTACCATCACCACAGCTAAGACCCCTACCATCGGCCACCATTCCAAACACCACTGCACCTGCACATCACCAGATCCACCATCACGCCACCACACACCTTCACTGTCGTCTCACACAAAACCATCACAGCCTCACGCCACCGTCGTTGCAGACACCACCACACCCACGCACATACACGTCACTGCCGCGCACACCACCCTAACCACCACAGATTGCAATGGGCAGTTCCTCCGATTGTGAGATCTCCTCAAATCGCCACTAGTTCGTCGACATTGTAACAAAGCAGCTTTCTATCGTCGGTTCTCCAGTCGCCGGGCAGTTGAGAGAGAGATGTGATAGAGAGAGAAACGGGGGGTGGGGGGAAAATGAAAGTGGAGAATAATTAGGGTTTGAAATTATTATTTATTAGATTAATTTTTAAATATATTAATTAATTAAAAAAAATTGATTTGTGAAATATTAAATATGGTATCTTATTTATGATATAGGGATTTTTAATCTATTAAAATCTGTAATTTTCATTTTTAAAAAAGGCAAAAAAATTTCAAAAAAGAAATCCACCATGCAACATTGTGGACTTGGGCCCACACATTTAGGGCCCACATTTGTAGCTTGGGCCCACATATTTAGGGCGCACATTTACAACTTGGGCCTAGGGATGACCCGGGAAGGTCGGGGCAATCAATCTTGTCTTCCACTCCATCAAGCATTTTTTCCTTTTGACCAATCTCTTTCGTCGCTTAAGGAGTGAAAGGATGGGGCAGGTTCCCTACCCCGTTTACTACCCTTTTTTATTTATCTTTTTTTTTTTTTTTTGCTTTCTAATACCAATTACAAGGAAAATAAAAGATCTTACCGAGATTAAAACACGCTCACAACACCCCCATAATTTTGTTGGTATACTTTTCAAATCCCAACAGTCACTCAAATAATATTTTATATACCGTTCATAACAACTAATTGAAAGATATTTCAAACTTATAATGCATGCGATTCTTAGTAAACATATCATCAAAACTTAAAAGCAAATGATTTTTAATGAATCCACAACGTTATCAATTTGGACACTAGAACTACTAGACCATGCATGAGAGAAATATTCATGCCTTCGAGTGCAAGAATTGAATAAAAAATTTCGATAGAGACTGGGACCATATTCCCATCCTTGTCACGGTGCAACATCGATCGTCATGTCCAGAAATGACAATGGGTTGTGTGTGGGAAGGGTTGATCATTCTCATCACCTATCCTGTCGAGAATTTTTATTACTTTGTCTCGTCACCATACTCGATTTACGTATGATGAGATGGGGCTTAGGGCGAGATCGGGGCGGGGATAGTCCCTTGTTCCATTTATCACCCTGTTTATTTTTAATATGTTAAGTTAATTAATATTATTACTTTTTTCTTTTTCAATTTATTAAAAACAGCTCATGTTCTTTTTAAAAATGATTATAAGTGTTTTCTTTTTGTTTGATAAAAAATGTAAAATTGAGATTAATTCTAATATAGCAACAAGTAGGGCCCAGAGGTATTCGGGTACTCGATTAGGTAGGGCCCACAAGTATTCGGTTGAACGAATTTTTTGCCATCGTTAATCGTATCCTTGCTTTGAGGAGTTGATTACGCGAGAATTTTTGTTTGGGATGAGCCGCCACAAATATCAAATTTAATTATTTTTATTTTTTTGCTATCTTATTTGGGCTTATGGACTTGTCAATACTTAGTCCTTATTTGACAATTATTATTTTCAAACTCTTTTTTTCTATATACTCATTATTAACTACATATTCACATAATAAAAAATTTAACACGCAAACTTAAAATTTTTCTTTATTTTTTAACCACACGATTACCAAAGAATCACTATTCAAATCTCTATTTCCCCCAAGTCGCAACTTAATAAAACTTGAAAAAAAAAATCCATAGTAAATAAAAAAAAAAAAAGCACCAATAATATACCAACTTTCTTATCTCCATCTCTCTCACATACACCCCCCATTGTAAACTGATACTACTTTCCATCAACATTTTTTATAAGTACGTTCCACTCTAAATTTATCTCTAATAAAATTTTAAAATTTTTAAAAAATACTATTTACATTCACGTCATATTTCAATACTATCCTTATTAAATTCATTCATTTAAATATTATACATCCACATGAATTTTATATATTCATCCCACTTTAAATACATCTTTATCAATATATATTCGCCCAATCTCTAAAACTATAAACTCTTAAATCAAATGAATGAAATAAGAACAAGTTGAATTGATTGAACATTAATTAACATGAAATAAATTCTTTGTCCATCGAAATTATGAGTATTAAAATGTTTCAAACAATAAAGGCTAAAGAAAGAAAGAAGAGAAAGTTCGATTAAGCAAACTGAAGTTTACTTACTTTGTTGGATACAATTATTCTTCTTTCTTAATTAACTGATGAAATTGCATCAAATTCCGTTTTGCAATCTTTGAAATTCGATATGATTCTCAGCACATAAATCACATTGAGTCATCATCACCTATAATTACATTCATGTATTTTTCTCTATCTATTATGATTCTAATTAAGTGAAAATTAAAACTAGTGGATCAATTTAAAGTTATGTATTTTTATTTAATTTTGTTTTTGTCTAAATTTACATGGGATTTAAAATATAACAAAATTTTATTTTTAACAGTGGTGTGTGTATATACCGTTGAAAACCCTTCACTGAGAATCATATCTGCGACTGATTCTGTAATTCACACAAAGTTGGGTATGTATTTATTTAATTATCGTGTGATCTTTTGTTCTTTTTTATTTTATAGCTAATCATTTACGTAGTGATGGAATTGTCAATATTGTGAAGTTTTGGTGATTTTTCTTTTCCCCATTTGATGATATTTACCAGTATTTTAGTGGTGATTATGTTTATAAAATATGAAAGCGTTAAATTTTAGTTTTAATTTTTTTCAAGAACGTGAAAGATTCATTCTTGAAAAGTTATGGGTCATTCTTTGGGAAATTATTTATTGTTGATGATTTATTTGATGTTTTCTTATTAAAGAAAATTGGGATCCGATTAAATACTCCATTTTCTACCTCATTTGGGCGATTGATAGATTGTTGCTGTGATTTTAGTATTTGCTGTGAATTGGAATGCAGTTAATAATATAATAACTGGAATATATCCTAAAACTTCAGCAAATTGATGTTACATATAATTGTCTTATGATCATCTGCTATGATAATTGTAGGAGATCATAAATAATTCTCGTGACACTCTCTATTGGTAATTATGCTAAAGGCAAGAAACAATATTCAAGTATTTAGGCCGAACTGCATTTTGTGATTATGCATACGTTGACTTCAAATTAATATTTAAAGAAAAATACTAACTTTTGATGGTAAGGCATAATCAGAATTATACTCCTATCTTGACATAAACCTGGTGGTTAGAATTCTATAGTTGTATCTCTGTTTTGTTTGTGGGAGGAGGAATTGTGTGTTGTAGTTGCTAAATATTTTTTGTCTGTATGCCTTGGATTTGGAATGCACGATAATTTTCCATTTATTTCTGGTTCTTCATATCGTATTGTATGTACAGGTTATTGGTTTGGGTTGCATCAATACCATCTGGAAAGAGAGCAAAAGATATAGAACTTTTCCGCATTAACAATGAATGATACCATCTTCAAGGATCGCATTGCAGCATTGCTGCAAGTTGTGCAAGCAACAAAAATTATTAAAGATGATAATATTCCATGCAAAATCGAAGAGGTGATTACTTTTGAGCTGGTGATTCTAATTTTTAACATCGTGATTTATGAGATTGTTCTTATACTTTCTCAGGGTCTTTACTTGGGCTCACTTGGAGCTGCCAATAACAAAAGTACTTTGAGAAGCTTGAATATCACACACATATTGACGGTCGCCCATTCTTTGTCCCCTGCTCATTCAAATGACTTTATATACAAAACTATTCCTGGTAAAGAGTTGTTGAGCCGAATCTTCAAAATAGCACCCATTTTACGAATATTTATACTATAACTCCTTGCTTTGTGTTGTAAAGAAGAATTACTCATTTCATTTTGATAGTGGGCCGAAGTGAGTTTGAGCATATTTGGCCAAGCTTGAAGTCTGAAGAGTTTACTTATAACAAGATAATTAAGTTTTGAAATAAATAATTATTCATTGATTAAAATTGGAAATAAATTACTTATTTTGATAGCAAGCTAAGAGTTACTTTCAATGTAAATAGGTTCTTTTATTTAGAAGTAAGAAAAAAGTAGTTGATCCAAAGATGTTTTGAAACATAACTTGTTTAGTAACTTTACCTTTCATTTAAGCTTGGCCAGACATGCTCTCAGTGGATTTAATTCAGAAGTGTAAAGTGTGTTTGCGAACATTACACTTAACGCCGCCTTGAGATCTCTCTATCCATTCGGAGGTTTTGCTTCCACCTTTCTAAATATGGAATGATTGTTGCATGCTGTGTTTCTTTCTACTTTTATATCTGGTGTTCTAGCTTTCTAATAAATGAACCCAATTGAATCTTGTGGTTCTTTTTATACAAAAAACTTAGTTAATGTCTCATTTATGATGTTCCTTCTGAATTTGAGCAGTAATGGATAGAGAAGATGTGGATATATCACAGTACTTTAGTGAGTGTTTCAATTTTATTGAAGAAGATAAAAAGACGGGTGGTGGTGTTTTGGTTCATTGCTTTGCTGGAAGATCCCGAAGGTTTGCTTTTATTCTATTTATTTTGACCGCTTCCGCTGTGTTGTAATTTTAAGTAATAGGTAATGTTTGCCATTTTCGTGGATATTAATAGATTCTTCGTATCCCTAGATTGAAATAAAAATTCATGTAGTGGTATCATCTTCCACAATTAATCTTTGTTCCAACTTTAGTTATCAGGGGAAGAGAAAATTAGAAAAGTTTAAATATTAGGTGAGTTACATTAATGATGTTATATACAACTGCTCAGTATAAGTAAAATTTGAAAATGTTCAGTTACAAGCTTTAACTTAATTGCATTAATTTAAAGAGTGACGTGTAAAGCTTGTTTATTGATGTTCTAGAGATTGCTTAGTACTGTGCAATTTGAGTAATGTTGAGTTTTGACCTGTTTTGTCGTGGACAAATACACATAGGAATGTTCTCCAATGGCTTAAATATGTGATCAACTGTTCCGTATACCACCGTCCTTGCTCTGTATTGGCCGATCTGAATCCTTTTAGCAAGTATAATTCTGGAGGAGGTATTTGACAAGGCAAAATAGAGCATTTTTCCTAAAACATAACCACTGTGCAATGCAGCTATTTTTGTTCTTTTCTTCGTCAATTTAGAAATGAACTAAGGGTTTGTTTTGGAGAGATTTTTTAAGAACCATTTTCAACCATACATTTTATTGGGACTCGCATTTTTCCCCACTTTTCAACCCAAATGCTTGAAAAAAAAGTTTCATTTTTCACTTGAAAGTTTGTCTCCCAAACCAACGCTAAGAGTCCTCCTAAAACATGTGGACTCTTTTCTTTTTCAAATTTGGCAAACATTCAAGATGTTGTTGGAACCTTGGTTGGATCATGTACTTATGTTCCAGCACTATTCAATGATGAGTTGGCAGTACGTGGACCATTGCAATATCCTTAGATTCACTAGAAAATCCTGAATATAATGGAGATTGTTTGTGACGTCTGTAGTATAATATCCGTAGATCCACTAGAAAATCCTGAATATAGTCCTTTAATGGAGATTGTTTGTGACATCTGTAGTATAAATTCCATGCCCGATGTGAGTATATTATAATGTCACTTCAAAAGTAATCAAGTAACACGCAAAACTCATTGTAGATATTTTGTTTATGTAATGTGAAAAATCCAATATTGGATTGTGATGGTTAATAAATGTACAGTGTCATCCAATAGGTCGTGTAGTTGCTCCAGTCTTTCTTAGCCTGCAACTTTATTTTGACCACCATGTCTAGTCTGCCTATATATGTTTGAAGTAGGAGCTGGACTTAGTATAGAGTGAACAACTACATTTTTATGGTGTTTTCTTATTTTGAGAGTAGGTTCTATTTCACTTTTACTTCTTAATCCTAACATCATTCCATCATTGCAACCTCTGCAAACAGTCCTGAAACCTTTCTTTTTTATCACCAAATTTCTAGTTAAATTCCTCCGCTAAAATTTTAACCTTTATTCCAACTGTTTCTCTTATTACAGTTCATTGCTGGCCTTAAAAAGCTTGCTGTCTTGAGCTAATAGCCCTCTCTCATTGACACATCCTTTCAACAAAATTGAGCCTACTGATGCTGCGTGATAGAAACGTAAAGCTGCAATTATAGTTGCAAATGTAAAGGCTGAATGTGAGCCTACTTGTCTTAAAATCTTGCTGGCTAGAGTTGACAGCCCCCTCTATTGGGCACATCCTTTCCCCAAAATCGAGCCTACTGATGCTACATGATTGATATGTGAGGCTGTTAAGTGGGTTAGTTGCAAAAGGAAACAATGAATGTGAGTTCTGAAAGGGGAATCTTAGCTGCTATTAAATTATTATTCTATTCAGAAACAGAATTTCGGATGACTTAATTAATTGCCTTTGCCTTGGGTTTGATATGTCCATGTTATTCCTGAAAATATTTTAACATCAAACTTTTACTTTGAAAATGTATTCCATGTTTGTTTGAGTTTTTGTTTTGAATTTGATTTAGTTGTTGTACTTTGCAGTGTGACCATTGTTGTTGCTTATCTGATGATGAAGATTGGCATTAGCTTATCCGAAGCTCTGGAACACGTGAAGAGAAAAAGACCAGTTGTATCTCCAACTCTGGCTTTATTTCACAACTGGAAAACTTGGAGAGATCTCTTCAAGGTACTTGCTTGTTTAACTTATAGAGTTGGCTTATCATAGAATTGTTATTAAACAAGATAGTTTGTTCGCTTGAGAAATTTTAGCAAAACTTTTAAACAAGGCATGTTTTTGAGGAGCAAAAAATATATGTGATGAGTACCTGAATATAGAATTGCAAATAAAACTAGATTGAAGAAAAATATTTGAATAAATGTAGATGCAAAAATTGTTTCGGGAGCATCATTGGTGGTTTAATATGAGGATCAAATTTGTCATCTATGTCCATGTTGGTGATATTGGTAAACATAATTAAGACGCCTCAATATATTCTTCCCATTTTTTTGTGGATTGCTACCTGTACTACATACTTTGTTATATGTTGTCGTAGAGGTTTCTGGGAGACATGCATTCTACTACTATTCATGCAATACTATCTATAAGAACTGGCTTAGAGATTGAATCATCTCAAGAAAACTTCTAATACAAATAAATATTGACGTGGGCTAAGAGTTAAAAAGAAAAATTATTTATTGTGTTCTTTTTCATTTCATTTTATTTTATTTTATTTTATTTTTGATGTGTGCACTTTTTTGTTGTAGTTTGCTGTGCAAATAAGTGGGTCCATTGTCCGGTGTTACTATACTCATACCCTGTTGTGAAGATGACGTGTTTTATGATGGCAATGTATAGAAAACCCACGACTCTCATTGGATAAGGGTTGACACTCTAGTTACCTTAGGGGCACGGGACCTAGCACTCCCAATGCCTCTTTGAAGGTCTGGCCCGTCCATTCCAAGAGTGAAGGACTCGGGCCTGTGATGCATTAGGGACATAACAGATCCTCGTGGATACAAGTTATCCAATTCTATTTGGGCGACCGAAGGGAATGACATATCAATTGAAGAAAACCGAAAACATTTTCTTATTTTTCAACCATTTATTTTTCAAAAAAATATTATTCCACCCGTTTTCATTTCAAAAAATGGGGGCTAGAAAGCGTGATCATTCCATTTTTATCAATCATGTAATGGACTGGTTTGTTATGGTTGTGCTAAATTTCTGAGAAATGTTATCAAAAGGTGGTATCGGTCCACAAAATTATTAGTTAGTACCTCACGGTAGCTAATTTGTGGTTTGGGAAAAAGCTCAAGACATATGTCATATTATCAATTCTGCTTGGGTATTTGCTAGACGGTGACAATATACGCTGCAAACATTTTGTTTTGCCTCACTCCCTATGTCAACATGTTCTTGCAGGGAAATACTTCAGTGTTTATTACCTTAAATTTCCTTGTCAAATGCAGTTTTATTTCAGTTTCCCTTTTCCACTAAATATATTCTTTAATGCAGGATCGAAGATGGGAAAGGCTGCTGGGGTATAGAACTTCAGCAATTCACTAGTTTTATTGTAAATGAGACAAGATTGTACCCCAAAAATGGCAAACAAAATTGATTCTATAGAAAATCTATCAAACAGATACAGTGAAAAATTATTTAGTCCATGATGTTAACTGTTTATTAATAACACCAAACATGCAATTTGTTACTTTTGTTAGTGATCATGTGCAGTATCCTTACTGAACTTTGAGCACTCTTCGAGCACTATCTTCAACTTTGTCTCTGACCATGCAATTTGTTTATGGTAACTTTTGGGGGTTCTAACTATTGAGTTTTGTGACCCCAAATCCGATTAGGGTACTCGTGATTTGGAATATTGGGTTTGGAGACATCAAAATTGGCCCCAAGAGGAAAAATAGGTTTCGACGGTGTTGGAATAACGCTCGTCTACCGCTTGAACGGTAGGTCGAGATTTGGAGCAGTGTGCCTTTCGTTTCCATCGCTTGCCTAGCGAGAGACTAGCGCTTGAGCGCTGGCAGTCTGAATTTTTCCATATTTCTCCCCTTCACACGATTTCTTGATCTAGCTTCCATCTTTAGGGTTATTTCTAAGGTTTGGTGTACACCCCTATAAATATTAGACCTTTCTTTACAAGTTTTGTAATACTTAAATGTTAGAATCATCGTGTAAGAACATAATTACAGTTTTTTTCTTTCCATTATAGTTGTTGAATAAAATCTCTAATTTCTCCTCCAAATTAAATTTTTGTCTTTGTGTTCTTGTTGTTTGTGATCAATATTTCATATCATACCGTATAACCTCGTCTCGTTCCTAACACAAACGTGAGAACTTGTGGGATTGAGTTGTATTGCCTGATGAGTTGATAAATTGATCCCAACAGTTTATTCCTCGACTTTGTATGTACATTCACTGAACTGTTCGTACCCTGTTACTTGTATTTAATTTGGTATTCAATGCTGAATGCGATTGAATATTACATTAGACAAGATTTTAGGTTTCTTTACTTAATTACCATCTATTATTTCATAGATGATCTTATCAAACATGCGATGTTTATAGAGATTAAACACTAAAGCCATGTATAAATATATTTTAATTAACAATTTCAACATATAACAAAACGAAATGTTATGTAAACATGATAACAGTGTTAGAAAGTTTATTCTCACAAGGTTTTACATAATTACAACCTCTGTTCAATATTAGGAAACTATGAGAGAAACAATATATCTAGCTCCTCTATGGTTACCATTATTTTTGTTGGAATGCATATGCGAAATTATCCAAAAATTGAAAGTTTTCTTTAATTCTATAAACAAGATTGTTTAGATGTTCCCGTGTATGTTATATCAAGAATAAATGATTCAAATTTTTACCTAAATTCGAAGATCAATTTTTTAATTAATTTTGAATCATGAACTTCCATCTTTTTAATTCTAAGAACTTGATGCTTTAAACCTTTAAGTTTTCTATAGGGGTGTAAGCGGTCCGATTTTACCGATTTTTGACAAATTTTCAAACCAAACCGTTTAAAACGGTTTGAGAAAAACCGAAACCTAAACCAAACCATTTTGAACGGTTTGAAAAAAACTCAAACCTAAACCAAACGATTTGGTCCGGTTTTAAACCGCCGATTTCGCCATATATTTTTTGCTAGTCTACTTTTATGCCATTAGTTCATTGAATTTAATATATATTTATATCTCACTAGTAATAAATCTAAAACAAACTAAGCCCCTATTTGAACCAAATTTTTGGGACAAAAAAAATGAAAATTTGGACCATTATTCCACAAGACCAGCCACCTTCGTTGACCTGCTATTTCATGTGTGCGACTCAGCCTCCTCTCCAATAATTAATTTTCTCATTATGATGATATGAAAACTATGGCTCAAACAGGGGCTAAATATATCTGCTATAAATTTAAATATCAACTAAATCAAAGTGAAGTCAAAATAAACTAAAACATAGTTTTTTTTTCATTTTTGTTCACCTTTTTTAGGCTAATGACAATACAATAACGTTACAATACAAGTCTACTAAACTAGATATAAGGTCCAAAAAACATAGTGATATCCAACAAGACCTCGTAATCATCATATCTAAAAAAAAGGATACTGATTAAACAAAGAGAATAACCAACCACAATAATAAAGCAATTGTTTATAATATCTTAACATAACAATTACACAAATTTACGTTTATATGATGTTACGAAACACGTTTAATTTCAGATTCTTACCTTAGTTTGCTCAAAAAAATTATTGATCTGAAACTTTATTTGTGGCAAGTATTATCACCGAAGGTCTAGGATCTCTTTGTCTCTGATTTGGTATAACGGATTTCAATTCAACTTTGAAGAGGCGTGAAAAATCTGAAAAAGAAGTGTGTGCCGGTGGCTCAAAACTGTGTTGGGTATCGACTGGAGTTCATCTAAATTTTAAAGAGGAAAAATGTTTTTGATAGATTATATTAGTCTTGAAATTATTAAATATATATTATGATTATTGTATAATAATAATAATAATAATAATATATCTGTATTAGAAAATTAGGAATTGACAAAAATACTCACAAATGACAAAACTATTGAATTTTACATATTTGGATGAATTTTCAAAAAATTTCATTTTTTTCATTTTTTTATTTTTATAGATTTTTTCGCCGGTCCGATTTGGTTTTAAACCGCAATTAAAATTCTCAAACCTAAACCAAACCATTTTGACCGGTTTGGTTTGGATCAAAATCATTTCGTTGACCGGGTCCACGTGGTATCAAACTGACGGTTTCTAAAATGCGATTTCAGTTCGATTTTCCAGTTTTGTGATTTTTGCTTACTGCCCTAGTTTTCTATGGTATTCTCCAAAATCAAGACTAGACTTATGAGTGAACACATTTTTTAATTAAATTGAGAAATTAATTTTTGAACTGGACAATTGAATAAAATGAGAAAATAATTATTTTCTCTATTTTTCTCTCTCCAAATTTGAACACTATGAAATTATGCATCATGATTGTTGTACATTCCCATAGGATATCTTGGTTCCATCTAATATTTATTTATAAAACTAAAATAGTTTCAATTCTTTTACAATAATAATTCTGCATTCAAATAAGAGTTTTAATTAAAATTCAAAGTGTTAATTAAAGTCCAAATCCAATTAGTTTATATTTAATTACAAATGTAGACTTAGAACTTCAATTACAATTATAATTAAGGGCCTATTTGATATGAAGAATTTTTCATGGAAAATGTAAAATATTTTCCATTTTCCACCTTTTGGCCTATTTGATAGCAATAATTTTCTTGGCAATTCATTTTCCTTCCCCTTCCCACGTAAACCTTTTTCCTTCATTTTGTGAAAAATCAATTTCCATGGATTTGGTGGGAAATGGTTTTCCCAGCTTTTTTTATTTTTATTTTTTTGGACAATAGAAATAAATTTTATCCACAATTGTAACAAACTATATCTTTTCAATTGACAATTTTTATGAAAATCAAAGCCAAACAAATACCAAAATATTCAAAATTTCAACATTTTTTATATGAAAAATTATACCAATCAAATACATTTACTGACAATTTCCAGTAAAACAAGTTTTAGGCAATTCAATTTCTTGAAATTCTTTTTCTTTCACATAAATTTCATTCTTACAATCAAATGGACCCTAAGTTTACAACTTTCATAATAATTACAACTAAGTACAAAATTTTATTGCAATTACTATTAAGTCCAAAACTATTATAATTATCGTAATTAAGTTTCAATACTTTAAAAAGTTATCACAGGGGTATGATTGGACATATATTATTTAAGCTCCAATAATTAGATCATATATAGTTGATCTTATACCACTCAATCTAATTATTAATCTTTGCTTCTTCTTTTTTTTTTTTTTTTTTTTCACTAAAGGCAAAAGACTGAACTTTTGGAATGTATAAGTTTATAGAAGTCCATAAATTTGTAATATTTTTCTCTGGTCTGTCATATATGTATTTTATCCCTGTTCGAGATCTGATAATTAGGTACGAGTATAAATGACTATTTTTTCTTTCTAATTATTCTCACTAACTTGAATATCATTTTCTTCAATGGTCTTGTGAATTAATCACAGATGCCAAAGTTTAGTCGTCACTAAATACTCAGTTCTAATAATCCAACAAAAAATACTTAAATAGCCACTCTACCCATTTTTCAGGATGACGATTCTCGACACAAATTCATGTTCTCTACTTTAATCATTCTCAAGTTTTCAACTCATTAAGATATTTAATTAATCAAGTTGATCTCATCCATTGGTGAATCAAATAACCATTAAGATCACGGATATATATATACACACACATAGGATTTAGACAATATATAAAGCAATCAAGCGAAATTTAATTCATTTCACGGTCATGCTATAGAACTGAACATGTGGTCCATTCAGTACCCTTCAAGTGTACTAGTGTCACCTTTAATTATTTTTGTAATAAGAACAAATTACATATTTGAATAGTGAATCAATCAACACTACAATCTTCCGGTACAATGTGTCAACTCTTATACATTGGTTGTAAATAAATTATTTATAATCAAAATATAAGTTGTGTCACACTATACTTCTCGACGTAAGTACTTAACTTATAATATCACAAGTGATCATTTGCACTTTAATTCGTATATTCAATAATAAATAAATAAAATCATAATCTATTTATTATAAATTATTGTTTTTATCATAGCAAAATATACTATAAAAGCACACAACACAACAATTTCAAAACTCTTTTTTTCTCAAATTTATTTTCAAGTACACATTCTAATAATAAAATATTTTTCATATAAATCTAAAAAAAAACAATACATTTTTTGAAAATTCACTATTCCAAAACTCCTTTTAATTAAATAATGGTGGATAAACAGGAGCTTAACTAGAAACAAAATGAATAACAATGGAATAATTTCTATTATACGTATTAGTAGAAGAATAATCCTATTTACAGTCATTCACTACCGTAGTTGCTTTACGTGATATATACGTATCTATTAGTGATTTGAAATATAAGACAATAAACAACAACCACATTAATATATCAAATCACTAACCGTCACATGTATTTCACGTAGAGCGACTACAAATATCATCATTTTTATCGAAAACAAAATATGAAGGGTTTATTAATTTCTATACTTTTGAGGGCGAATTTATATCATTAAGTGTCCACAAACTCAAACAAATAATTACATAAGTCGAATTCCATGAACTTGAGCTACTCATTATAACAAGATTAATCGGAATCTCAAGTCGGGTTATTAGAATGTGGGTATACAGATTCAGTTGGAGTGATGAAGAATCGAGCGTGGCATGCATGAAGAGAGGCAAAAGAAGCAGGTATTGTGCATGAGACTTACCCTTTTTCTTTTATCTGTACGCGGGGAATGTAATTGCTCCAAGATCATAAACGTGAGACGAAATATATACACACAAAATAGATATATGTAGAGAGAGAAAGAAACAGATATTGAGAGAGAGAGAAAGGTACAAGTGTAAAACTAATTAACCTCACGAGAGTGTAACACGCAGCATTAAATGAAAACCCTAGTCGACGAATATAGATATGGCCCCCCTATATCTAGATATACTGTGGTGCGCTGTTCTATATATAGAGAGAGAAACAGATTGAGTGTTAGCGTGCAAGAGACAGAGAACAAAGGAACAAACTTACAAGCTTTTTCTCTCTTACATCCAGAACCATGTCTCACATAGCTGTGGAGAGGAACAGGAGAAGACAAATGAACGAGCATCTCAAGGTTTTGCGTTCCTTAACTCCATGTTTCTACATCAAGAGGGTACTCTCTCTCTCTCTCTCTCTCTCTCTCTCCCTCCCCCCCCCCCCCCCCCCCCCCCCCCCCTCCTCTCCCTCTCTCTCTCTCTCTCTCTCTCTCTCCCCATTTGGTGCAAACTATATTGTGACTTCCGTGTATCGCATATCAGACATGTATATATACTCGTTTATATAGTCAATTTTCTTTCCTCTTAACTAGTTACAGATTACGATAATCTTCAACTGTGGTGTTCGTTTTATGTTTATGATATGGAAATTGAGGAAGATCAAGAAATATGTATCAGTTATGGAAGACGACTAAGTTGTAGAGCATAATTAATTATTGCCATTTCGTGTAATTGGAGTCATTGTAAAATTCGATTTGCCCTGATGTATCTTATAAATAGGGAGTTGTCATTAGGCTTTATACCATCATCAAAAATAGAAAAAGGAATGTTAGAGAAGATAAGTGTGCGATTTTCTTTTGTAAACCTCTATAAATCTTGTATGTTTTTGAGTGTTTATTTTTCTTTCTTTGAATTGATTACTCTTGGTGAAATAGAATTAAGGTTTACGATTATCAACACTTCACTTCCCTTTATGCGTATCAAATATATGTATATGCGTGTTGTGGAGTTAATTTATCTTCCCTCTTAACTAGTTTTGGTAAGTGTCAACTTAATTTGGAGTTTGTTTCATGTTATGACAAGGAAATTAAGGGAGATCAAGACATTTGTATCTGACATTTTTTACTTTGTAATGTGTAAATACATTTTTGTACAGTAAATATATCTTTCCTTTTTACTAGTTTTGAAGTCAAGTAGTCAACAACTTAATTTGGTGTTTGTTTCATGTTATGATATGGAAATTAGAGGAGATCAAGCCATTTGTATCCGACATGTTTTTCCTTGTAAGAGTTTTAGACGTATATACGCGTTTTTGCAAATAAATTCATCTTTCCTCTTACTAGTTTTGATGTTGGATATGGAAATTTAGGGAAATCACACGTCTTCCCTTTTAGGCATATTAGACGTGTATATGGACGTTTACAGAGTATATTGATTCAATAATCATGTCAACTTTTGGTGTTTGTTTCATGTTATATGGAAATGAAGGGAGATCAAGCATCAATTATAGGTGGTGTAGTAGAATTCATCAAGGAATTGCACCAAGTTGTTCAATCCTTGGAGTCGAAAAAACGCAGAAAGAGTAGTAGTCTAAGCCCTAGCCCGGGACCTAGTCCGAGGCAATTTCAGTTAAGTTCTCAACCAGACAGTCCATTTGCATATAATACTGATCGGTTCAAGGAAGTTGGGGCTTGTTGCAACTCTCCCCTTGCAGATGTTGAAGCTAAGATTTCGGGATCCAACGTTCACCTACAAACGATATCTAGGCGAATTCCGGGGCAAATTGTGAGGATAATCAATGTGTTGGAGAAACTTTCATTTGAGATTCTTCATTTGAACATAAGTAGCATGGAAGACACCGTCCTATACTCTTTTGTCATAAAGGTATGGATATAATAGAAAAATAGCATTGCTCTCTTTCAGAATTCTCATTTACCACGGTAGAAGTTCATAATATGATTCAATTAAATGTAGTTTTAAATAATTGTACGCAATTAAAAATTAATAGTAGAATGAAGTTTAATGTCTAAGATGAGGTATTTCACAAAAGTAATGGATTGAACTCTAGATAATATATAATGAAATTCCATGTGTTAGGCCTTCATTGCTGGACTATGTGGGCCCTTTTGTGTGTGGCGTGCGAGAAAACTTCTTTTTCAATATCATACTCAAACTCGATAGCATGCGTAGACGTATCATTCACATGAAGAATAGACCACTATAAATTTGTTTGTGCATTTCTTTATTCTCTTTTGTTAATTATTGCTCTCAATTTTTTTAATTTTTTAATTTTTTTAATTTTAATTTTTGTTTTAGGGTTTGATTCATAACATGCACTCAATTTTTTCCCCTCATTTTGTTTTGAAATTATTTTATATTTTTGATGCACTAAACTAGGAGATTTAGGGTTTGATTAAATTATGATTCATGAAGAGTGTGTTTTCTTGCATATATCAATTCTCTCCCCGTTTTCTAACCATGTTATTTTAAAATCTAGAATGATGGACAATTTTCATGAAAATTCCTTAGTAATTCCCACGAAATGACATTAATTAATTCTTTCCCTCCTGACTGATGTATATAGATTATCAAACCAGTATTTGCTGACAAACATATGTTAAATTTCATGATCATAATTTGACTCAATCCTTCATATTTCGTGAAGCTGCAAAAAATAAAATAAAATAAAATATTTTCATTCTTCTGACAATTACATTGCTAATTACAGATTGGACTTGGATGTCAAGTGAGTGTGGAGGAACTGGCCCTTGAAGTTCAACAAAGCTTCTGCTCTGAAGCAGTTTATGTTAAAGGCGATACAGAAAATCCAGTACAAGGGTTCTAAATTTTAAGCAGTCCCTGGAGGATGGCTGATATTTTATATATATGCATACAAATATGTGTGTTAAGAAATACGATAGTGAGGTTAAACTTCGTGGGACAATAATGACAATGACAATGGGATGTAAATATCCTTTTCGTATGAGAGCAACAAAGGATTAAACCTTATGGTAATGAAATAATTTAACCTCACATTGATTAACAGCTTCATTCTTTTCTCTCTTTGTGCATGCATTTTTTGCGTATGTTGTGGATTAATCTATAGCCAGTCATATCAAATGTAATTCTTACACAAATTAATCATTTTATTTAGTATTATGAATTGGGTCATTTAATTACTAATTATGTAATAATTTTTTTCAAGATATATGTCATTGTAATTTGAAAGTTCTATGTTTTAGTGAGAACATTATGCAATAAAAAATAAAAATAAAAAACCATTTTTGAACTTAAAAAGGAGTACTTTTGTTTGTATTAGAACAATTATTTATCTCAAAATATGATAATACTTTAGTTTATAAGAAATAATTTGAGAAGTATATACCATTTCTTATACAAATCAAATTTACTCTTCTAAGATATAAATTTGCATACTTCTCAAGTATTTTTCTCAAGTTCTATTAGTAAATTACACCAATGTCTTCATTTTTAGAATATCCTTAGAAAAACATTCTAAAAATCGACTAATAAATAATATTCATTTCTTGATAGTACATGCATTAGAAACTATATAAGAAACTTATTTTTGGATGCATGACGGTACTAAGTATTTCGCATTTTTTTAAAGGAAAACTAAGGTTGCGGTTGGTTTGACATTTTCGGGCCATTTTCCGTTTTCCTTTTTTGAAAACGCGAAAAATGCATTTGGTCCGTCGTTTTTCGAAAATGTATTTTCGAAAACGAGTTAAAATTTATAACTGAAAATGCAAAAAGACTTTTTATCATTTTTAGCGTTTTTAGTTATAAATTCCCAAAACGCGGAAAACGCCCAAAACTCGCCGTTTTCGGGGAAAACTAAAAATCGTTTTGAAACTGAAAATGAAAAATGGAAAACTAAACCAACCGCACCCTAATGATCTACTAAATTCCTGTTTTTGCTTAAGTTTCTTACTTAGAAAAGTCATTATATGAACAATGTATTTGATTTGGATTCTCAACACAAAAGCAACTGTACAAGAAAAGAAATAGCTTTATAATTAACAAGCATGAATAATCCTTCCAAGACACCGTATTGCTCTAGATTCTACTAAAAATAAAAATTAAAAAAAAAAACACCTATTTGCTATCAAATTCATAACCTAGCTAATATAAGTAATGCTTAAATATCCTAATTAGATAACCCAATTCATAACTAAAATGTTATTTCATTGATTTCACCGAAGATGATATAAGTTTTTAAGTTTTATAAAGTGTTTTAGGAAAATTAGATTGAAGAGGTTTGGAGATGAACATGTTGGATAATTTAATACTTTTAAATCACCGGATCTTTCATGTTACATCATCAAGAAAAAAACACAATTATTCACACATATAAGTCCATCGATTGATTAAAAAATCCTTACAATCTCCCACTTGGGCTATATGTGTCATCTTATAATTGTGCATTAAACATAACCTTATAAGTACTCAGAATTTTGCTATCATTATCGAATGTATCCCCAAACAATCATGTCCATCAATCATATCAACATAGGATCAAAGCGACTTTCGTTACCTTCATTGTAGCTAAACCCATCAATGGTCACGTATATCAATATAACCGAATGACATGGATCAAGCATGGATGTGTAGCATGAAATTTACATGTAATGTGATCTGTAACATGCCTATTTCCAACTGGTCCACCTTAATATCGTAGTGAGATCATTTTAAACAAGTTTAAAGATAATAAACCAAATAACTTTATAACTGAAAATAACTTTAACTTTAAACGGTATCCAAAATAACAGTACATATGTCCAATATGAAAAGCAAAAATATAAACTCCCACTGAAACTAGATATCCTCAAGAGACACTATACACATATGAGCAGTGTGCTTATGAAAGACCTTGGGTATCAATCCCTTAGTAAGCGGATCCGCAACTATGAAATTTGTTCCAATATGCTCTATTGACACCTGTCTACTTTGAACTCTTTCGTTAACAGCCAGGAACTTGATCTCTATATGTTTTGACTTCGTCGAGGTACTGTTGTTATTAGAATACAGCACTGCTGATTTATTGTCACAAAATATCTTAAGTGGTCTTTCTATATTGTCCACAATGCGCAGCCCAATGACAAAATTACGTAGTCATATTCCATGATTTGATGCCTCATAACACGCTATAAACTCCGCTGCCATGGTGGAAGTAGCTATGAATGTCTGCTTAGCACTCTTCCATGAAATAGCGCCTCTAGCAAGCAAGTAAATATAGCTTGAAGTGGATCTCCTACTATCTTGGCATCCCGCGAAATCGAAATCAGAATAACCGATGATCTCCAACTGATCCGATCTCTTGTATGTGAGCATGTAGTCTTTTGTTCTCTGTAAATACCGCATGACCTGTTTGGCTGCTTTTCAATGATCCATTCCCTAGTTACTTAAATATCTCCCTAGTATCCCAACAATGTACGCTATATCCAGACGCGTACAAATCTGAGCATACATCAGACTCCCTATAGTTAAGGAATAAGGAATCTTCTATATTTCTTTAATTTTCAAGTCATTTTTAGGATACTGACTTAAGCTGAACTTGTCTCCTTTAGCCACAGGGGTGTCACGTGGTTTACAATCTTGCATGCTATATCTTTTAAGTACCTTTCGATATAGCTCTTTTGTGATAATCCAAGAATGCCCCGAGAACGATCTCGGTGTATCTGAATTCCTAATAAAAAAGAGACGTCACCAAGATCTTTCATCTCAAAATTCTTTGCTAGAAGTCTTTTGGTTTCGTGCAATAAGTCTATATCGTTGCTGGTAAGCAATATGTTATCGACATATAAAACCAGAAGAATATACTTGCTCCCACTGAACTTGTGGTATATACAATCATCGACCACATTCATCTCAAAACCAAATGAGATGATCACCTGATGAAACTTGTAATACCATTGACGAGACGCCTTTAAGTCCATAGATGGATTTCTTTAATTTACAAACCATTTGCTTTGCATCGTCCGATACAAAGTTTTCTAGTTGTACCATATAAATTATTTCATCAATGTCACCATTGAGAAATGCTGTCTTAACATCCATCTGATGTAGCTCAAGATCGAAATGCGCTACCAATGCCATTATTGTTCTGAAAGAGTCTTTCGAAGAAACCGGAGAGAAAGTCTCTTTATAATCGATGCCTTCTTTCTGTGTAAAGTCCTTTACAATAAGACAAGCCTTATACCTCTCTACATCACCTTTCGAATCCCTCTTGGTTTTAAATATCCATTTGCAACCAGTGGGTTTCGCACCTTCAGGCAATGGAACGAGGTCCCATACGTCACTGTCATTCATGGACTTTATCTCTTCATTCATGGCATCGAGCCACTTTTGAGAGTTAGAACTTTCCATGGCTTGACGGAAGTTGATCAGATCATCTTCCACCATTCCAATGTCAACTTCATGTTCTTGGAGAAATACGATGTAATCATTCGAAACTGCACTTCTCCTCTCTCTAGTGGATCTTCTTAATGGCATTGGTTCTTGAGGCTGTAGAGTTTGTTCTTCTGGAACAATTTGTTGATCTTGAGAGGGAGGTATGATATTTTCTTGATCCAGAGTTGCTTCTTGAACAATATCAGGGATAGAAACCTGATCATTGTCAATGGCAATTGAAGGAATTTCAACATATTCCTCCTTAAAGACAAAGCCTGTAATCATTTCTCCCCCCGCAAACTCAACATCCTCAAAGAACTGAGCATTTCTTGTCTCGAAAATTACCTTAGTTGTGGGATCATAAAACTTGTAACCCATGGACCTTTCAGAATATTCAACAAAATAGCAACTGATGGTCCTTACATCCAGTTTCTTTTCATTTGGCTTATAGGGCCTTGCCTCAGCTGGACACCCCCAAATATGTATATACTTCAAACTAGGCTTCTTGCCCGTCTAAAGCTCATATGGGGTCTTATCAGTGGCCTTAGTTGGAACTCTGTTGAGTATATAAGCTGCGGTCTTTAATGCTTCACCCCAGAGAGATTCTGGTAAGGTAGAATGACTAATCATACTCCTCACCATGTCCTTAAGCGTTCTGTTTCGTCTCTCAGCAACACCATTCATAGTGGACGAACCCGGCATAGTGTATTGTGGGACGATACCTCATTCATCTTGGAATTTAGCAAATGGTCCTGGACATTGTTCACCTGAACCGTTATATCTGCCATAGTATTCACCCTCACGGTCAGATCTGACGCTTTTAATCCTTTTGCCGAGTTGGTTCTCAACTTCAGCTTTATAATTTTTGAACACATCCAATGACTCTGATTTTTCATGAATGAGATATACGTAGCCATATCTTGAAAATTTGTCTATGAACGTTATAAAATATTGTTGACCATTCCAAGAACCCGCAGGGAATTGTCCACACATATCCGTATATATAAGTTTTAAGACGTCCGAAGTCCTATTGGCTTGAAATCTCCTTTTATTCGTTTGTTTTCCTTTTATACAATTGACACACAGATCATAATCTGTGAAGTCAAGAGGGTCGAAACAAACTAAATTTTCCATTTCCAAATGAACAAGTATAACCAAATTTGTCCAAAACAGAAATAGAAATCAAATTCCGTCTAAAAGATGGTACAATAAATGTCTCAACAAGATCTAAATAAAATACAGTCTTTAACAATAATCTAAATTTTCATATTGCCTCTACCATTCTTTTACCGTCGCCAGCATAGATGTATCTTTCACCATCACTTGATTTTCGGCAACTCAGGCAACCCTGCATAGACATACTGATGTGAGTTGTTGCACCAGAATCTATCTACAATGGATGTCTAGGTACCGAAGTTAAATTAACCTCAGAACAAACCAAATGAAGAAGAGTACTTTCTTTACACGCCATGCGTGGTAATTGGTGCAATTCTTCTTCTTATGACCTGCAGCTCCACAGAAGAAACAACCACCTTCAGTTGGTTCCTTATGCTGTTTCTTTTGCGGTGCCGTACCTGCAGCTTCCTTATTAATCTTCC